CGATATTTTTCAACGGCTCAAACTACTAAAATCCGAAAATCCCAGAGTCCACAAATTCCAGGATGTCCTTCATAAATGGGCTACCCTGTATTTTATAGTGACAGGAAGAGTCGGGGCCAGGGATTGGGGACGAGGACGAGGGACGAAGTTACGCGACGGGTAACAGTCACGCTCGACGTTCGATTTTTATCCGAAGTACCAACGATCATCTCATTGATGAATACGCAGTTTCCATGAATACCATATGAGATTTGTCAGGACGTGTATCTTCAGCGGGGAGACACCCGATACGATCGTCGGGGATCTCTAACGTCGAGCCGTTTCGTCTTTCGCGAAGGGATTTGCAGTCGACCAGCCAACGGCCTCGATACCGCTTGTGCGGCGAAAACTTGATCGTCGCGTATTATTTATGACTTATGAGAGCGAAACGAGAGAATAATGGTCGCCTTTAAGGGGAAGGCTCGTTTCTCGCGATGTACGCCACGCCACGTTACAGCTGGTCCCTTTTGTTCGGTTATCGGCCCCTATCTCTTTGGCTTCGAAAGAGAAATTAATGTCTCTTGGTTACTGCGTAACGCTTTCTTGCTTCTCGTGGACGATTTAAACGTCAGAGGATAGGAATTGGGTTAGTCGTATCTTTTAATTTCTAGAAGCGTTCTTGAGCTAGTTCAATTCCTGCAGTCTTTATCGCTGCGGTAGCGTTTCAAGAGAGTTCTTCCCTTGCTTTGCTCAGTCGAAGTAGATCCACACTTTCGTTATTTTAACGACGATCGAAAAGCGTGTAAAACGAAGGCGATGCGTTGGCGGAACGGAAAATTCGAGCAAAGTCTGATGCACATCGAAAGCGACTTCGCGAGGCTGGTAATCTGCCTGGACAAGCGAACGACTGCTGTCGTATTTCTCGCCGGATAATAGATATCATAAATAACGAGGCTGATATCGAATGAGAGAAAAGTGGGAACCGGTTACAATATTTTCAGCGGATAAACCCTTTCAAATTCGCTAATCGATTCTTCGCGTCCTACAATCGGTAATTTAAATCTTCCGTGTAATATTCTGGAAGTAGACGCGTTTGATCCGAAAACTCAGAGAATGTACATTATTGTTACGGTGAAGAGAAGCAAACTGAGATCTACTTTCGTAAACGATAACGTTTGGCAACCTACTCGATATTTTTCAACGGCTCAAACTACTAAAATCCGAAAATCCCAGAGTCCACAAATTCCAGGATGTCCTTCATAAATGGGCTACCCTGTATTTTATAGTGACAGGAAGAGTCGGGGCCAGGGATTGGGGACGAGGACGAGGGACGAAGTTACGCGACGGGTAACAGTCACGCTCGACGTTCGATTTTTATCCGAAGTACCAACGATCATCTCATTGATGAATACGCAGTTTCCATGAATACCATATGAGATTTGTCAGGACGTGTATCTTCAGCGGGGAGACACCCGATACGATCGTCGGGGATCTCTAACGTCGAGCCGTTTCGTCTTTCGCGAAGGGATTTGCAGTCGACCAGCCAACGGCCTCGATACCGCTTGTGCGGCGAAAACTTGATCGTCGCGTATTATTTATGACTTATGAGAGCGAAACGAGAGAATAATGGTCGCCTTTAAGGGGAAGGCTCGTTTCTCGCGATGTACGCCACGCCACGTTACAGCTGGTCCCTTTTGTTCGGTTATCGGCCCCTATCTCTTTGGCTTCGAAAGAGAAATTAATGTCTCTTGGTTACTGCGTAACGCTTTCTTGCTTCTCGTGGACGATTTAAACGTCAGAGGATAGGAATTGGGTTAGTCGTATCTTTTAATTTCTAGAAGCGTTCTTGAGCTAGTTCAATTCCTGCAGTCTTTATCGCTGCGGTAGCGTTTCAAGAGAGTTCTTCCCTTGCTTTGCTCAGTCGAAGTAGATCCACACTTTCGTTATTTTAACGACGATCGAAAAGCGTGTAAAACGAAGGCGATGCGTTGGCGGAACGGAAAATTCGAGCAAAGTCTGATGCACATCGAAAGCGACTTCGCGAGGCTGGTAATCTGCCTGGACAAGCGAACGACTGCTGTCGTATTTCTCGCCGGATAATAGATATCATAAATAACGAGGCTGATATCGAATGAGAGAAAAGTGGGAACCGGTTACAATATTTTCAGCGGATCGGCAGGGCTGGTTGGTCGGTGGCGCGAGTCGATCAGCCCGGCCAGAGAAGGGCAGAGAGAGGCGAACGGCGAGCTACAACATTTCGAGTATAAGTTAGCCGGATATTGTTCGGTGCGGGGCGAATGGTAAGGGGCTTAGCAGCTCTGGAGCAGCGGCCAATATGGTGGTTACACGAGGATGAAACGATATAAATCCCGAAACGCTTACAGTTATTGCAGATCCAACGTAATATCCACTCGAACGCCGCTCGGCCGGTCGGTTTACGCGGTAATTCGCCGATGACAGGGTCCAGATAAAATGAAATCGGTTTCGCTGCTTTTGCAACGGCCACGATGTGTCGGGCTTCCTCAAAAAGAATTAACGCTGGCCCCGATCGAAGTTACGCAACAAGATCCATTTTTTTCGAACACGATTGTTCGACAAATAGCGTAGATCACCGATATCCGTTAATCTGCTTTTTGATCCCCCGCGAATTAGTCTGTATAATACCTCCACTGTAGTTTCTACGTTAGCCACTGATCTCCTGTTCGAATAACGGAAAAACCGGGTATGGTAACAACCGGACTTCTACCATTTTGAATCGTTCTACGGATAGTATTATAGTACCCGATACACAGACGGCCCGAACTTATTTTGGTAGTTTACCAAAGCTTTTCAACGTTCGCTGTCCTTCTCCTTCCTATCCTCGTCCACGTTTCGTTGCATCCATTCGTGCTCTCCCACCTCTCCATCCTGCAGCCGCGGCTTCATCCCTTTCGTCGCTTCTGTCCGCCTCTTCGCGAAACGATAAATTTTCCGGCTTTAAATCCCGGTCGCAGCACGACCACGACCACGACCACGACCGTGGCCACCGAACGCTTCTACGATACTTCGCGTGTGTATACGACACGAAAACGGACGTATCGCCTGTACAGACTTCGCGTGCCGTTGTTTACCGGTCTGACGATATATTTATGAGACTTGTTCCACCATCACCCTCCCCGATCCAATCTCGATATTCGCGTCACCTCCCTGGACCACGTATGTCCACCCACTTCTTCTACATCCCTCTAGTTTCCTGTTGTACGTACTTTTCTTTGTGGGTCTTTTGGTTACTTTCTTCGTGTTCGAGACTGACCTCATTCTTGCGTTTCCTTCGCAAATTCTTGGCCCCCTTTCTTTATTCTACGTCTTATTGTTACATTTGCTCTTACTGATTTATGGCAGTTTCCTGCAGTTTCGAAGACAGTTTTGTTTATTTATGTCAGGAATGTAAGAATGAGCGGAGAATCGGGGACAGAGAGACGTAGAAATGCAGTGTACTGTCAGTCGATATGGGCTGATCGTATCGGTGTTGATTTCGAATAGTTTCGGGGAAGTTTAAGCGCTTCCAAATAGTCGTTAACGATGTCTGTGTTCTAGCCGTTTAAGAAAGGATAAGCAAATTAACACGTCACATCCTGCTTGGTTCCTCTACGGGCTAAATTTATCGAACTCTGACTGGTAGCTCCTCCTCGGAGACGCTGGACCAGGATGGGGCGGGACTCCTTCGTATGTACTGTGGGTCGTGTTCCGTTTTCGATAAGAAGACACGTAGTTTAATTGATTTACATCGGTGCAACTGATCCGTTGAATTTGTCGATGTTCACATTAGTTGTACAGAAACTTGAACTTTCTTGTCAAACAGTTATATTCACGTTCTCATTTTCTATCTTACAAATTGTTGTACATTTTCCTTCTTCCCTATTCTTTTTATTTCGTTCATAATTACAATTCTCCACATTGGATTAAATAAACGTAAAACTATTTACCCACCCGTAGTCGTGCTTCGAAGCGAAGGAAACACGAAAGGGTGCGCGAAATTCTATTCGCTCAGCGTTTCCGTTCACGGCTATCGATCATCCTCGCAGGGAAACCGACATCGTTCGAGACAGAAAGTTTATTATGGGGCCATAAATGGGATAGGCGGTATCGTTGTGTCCCTTTGTGCCCGCCATGCCAACGACGCAGTAGCGGGACCATTCGAAATTCTGGTCACGAACGACTCGTCGCGGTTGGGAATCGACGCGTCGCGCGAAATTTACGAATCGCCCCGATCGATCTTTCCTATCGCTATTGTAATTGCGCGATGATCGAAACGACCAGAGAGAAATCGCGCGGTGGTTTTAGGATTGCCGAGAGTTGGCAAACAACGCGAGAAGTCTCTCGGAAACTATCCAGATTACGTCTTTCATGAAACTCGTGTTCTCGTTCTCCTGAGTTATGTCACGTTAAGGTTTAGTTAATGTTCGTTTTTCGAGCGGGAACAAGATTCGAACATTTGCAAGCTTTTGGAGTATTAGACCTTGTACATTTTCGTCTACGGGACGTTTCACAAAAGGGAGCTTACGAACTGCACGATCATAAATTTTTGCAATTAACAATTTTCGAGTTAACGATGTAAAATCGCAACGGAGAGTTCGAAGGGCGTATCACCGACTTCACTCTCGAAACTAGAACAAGAATCCATAAATCAATTTCTTCCCGACACCGTCGGTCGTCAATATTTCAGACATTTTTGAAAGCACAAGAACGCCATCATCGTAAAGCAAGAAAAACAACGGGGCATGAAGTGTCGTTAACATTAACCCCCCTATAGCACGTCCCAGAAATATCGTCCTCTCCGCGTCTATTCGCGAAGAATAAACTTTCTCCGAGCCACGTTCTATATATCGAAGAACAGTCTGCGCACTTTTATGCAGTCCCGCAATTTAGCGTAATCGCGCGCAGCATTGAATGCAAGAAGACAATAGACGCGACGCGACAGTCGAAACAGTCGAGACTCGTTCTCTCCCGTTTTCCATCTCGGCTTTCGAAATTTTTCTCAGGTCCACGATGGCGGCACCGGCAGTTGGCATCGACTTGGGCACTACCTACTCCTGCGTGGGGGTATTCAAGAACGGGAAGGTTGAGATCATCGCGAACGACCAGGGGAATCGTACCACGCCGAGTTACGTGGCGTTCACCGACACGGAGAGGTTAATTGGCGATGCAGCCAAGAATCAAGTCGCCATGAATCCCATTAATACGATTTTCGGTAGGTACTAAATAAGACACCACAAAAAATTGCACTGCTGCTTTTTCCAAGAGGGAGAAATTAAATTCTTGAATCATTAAAACCCAAATTCTCTGTTCTTTTCATAATTTTTTCAAGTACGAAATCTTACATTAAATGAACAAAAATACAGTCTCTATCGAACTGCAATGTTTTCAAAGGATCAGCTGTTAAACCATAATGCATAAAAAGGCAAAGGATTGATCAAACCATGACGAGACGAAACTTCGGCAAACTTCGTTTTCTTCGAATGAAACATAGTTTCAAGACGTTCGAACATTTCCAAGTTCGAATGCCGTAATTCGAAGGGAATCGAGACGATAACCAGCCCATTCACTATCGTTAGGTGTACGTGTACGAGCGCGAAGTAGAAACCGAGCGAGCGTTCCTCGAATTGAATTCTCGATAATCGTGCTGCCGAGTTGGCAGCGTAGCTAGGATTACAAGAATCACCGTCGTTTCCGGGCTTCTGGCCCGGCTTCCTGTGCAGTTGCCGGTCTGCGAAAAGAAACGCGACCGGAAGCCGCTGTAAAGTCGAGGATGCTCTCGTTTCGGTCGCTGCCAAATCGACTTACCGTTTCGTTTCGGTATCCGTAGTCCGTCCGTGGACGAGGCTGGAATACGTTTCGTTGGCCAACGATAAGCTTACTCTCGTTTTACGATGTTAAGAACGTAGCCGCGATCTTTCTTCCCGTCTATGTTCGATCAACCTCGCGTTTCCGGCCAATTACGCGCTCGGTGCCAATATTACGTACATTGTAGGCTTCCAGAAAATGCACGAAAATGATCAAGTCAAAACCCCATCACTAATTTTCGATTTTCGTTGGTAAATTTTGAGATTCGGAAATTTAAGAGTTTGGCGAATTTGAGAAGTTGAAAATTTTGAGATTCGGAAATTTAAGAGTTTGGCGAATTTGAGAAGTTGGAAATTTTGAGATTCGGAAATTTAAGAGTTTGGCGAATTTGAGAAGCTGAAAACTTAGAATCCGGAGATCCCTAAAATGTGAAAATTAGGAGAATCGAGAACACGGAGGTTTTGTGGTATATTAAATCTGAGAATCGAAGAAAAGTGATGGAGTGACTCGTTCTTGGTTAAAAGTACGCTGCAACCGAGTGCACGCAAATTCGAATCGATGGCGAAAAGAAATGTAAAATGAAATGATTCGACAGACGCAAAGAGGCTGATTGGCAGACGCTTTGACGACCCATCGGTCCAAGCTGACTTGAAACACTGGCCGTTCATTGTTGTTAACGACGCGGGAAAGCCGAAAATTAAAGTTCAGTACAAGGTGAGTTCGAGCTGATTAACGCGGTCCGATGTTTGCACTCGTGCTAGAACATTGACGTTTTGACGGGAAATTTAATTAGAAATACTTGACGCGAGTCTGTACCGTTTCGTTCGATTTTCTCATTTACACACAGTATCGAAGTTGTTGCTGCTGAAGTACGGTCTTGTTCTGTAAATATGTAATTTGTTAACCCTTTGTAGACGGAACGCTTCAAAGTTTGTTGTATAGTATAGAACATTCTTTGTTAAAGTTAAACTGAAATGTTTAATGTACATATTTCCTCGTTTCATAACTTTCCGCTGTTTTTCGCGTTGATGGAAAATAACAAGTAAAACGGGGAACGTATTTTTCCTGTATTTTATTCTTGGAATTTTTAATATATTAACGTTTCGACAGCCTTTGCGAATTCATTCTCCAGGAATTTTATACGTAGAAAAGGCGTCATTATTTTTCTTTAAATAGAGAGAACTGTAGTGATCGGTACTTAGGGTTAGCCGAAAGTGGGATAAATCATTTGGAAAGTATTTGGCGCGAGGTCTTCTGCCTCTTTTCCCGGTCAATTTTCCGTGGTCGTATTACTTCCAGGGCGAAACGAAAACCTTCTTTCCCGAGGAGATCTCGTCGATGGTTTTGACGAAAATGAAGGAAACGGCGGAAGCTTATTTGGGAAAGGCCATCACGAACGCCGTGATTACGGTACCAGCGTACTTCAACGATTCTCAGCGTCAGGCTACCAAGGACGCCGGCACTATCTCCGGCTTGAATGTCCTGAGGATCATTAACGAGCCGACTGCCGCCGCTATTGCTTACGGCCTCGACAAAAAGGGACGCAGTGAAAGGAACGTTCTGATCTTCGATCTCGGTGGCGGTACCTTCGACGTATCGATACTGACTATCAACGATGGCATATTCGAGGTAAGTCCGTGTAAGATCACCAGCCGACTCTTTGCCTGTCTGCCTTCGTTTCTCGCGCTTATACTTGCTCCCAGCGATATAGCGTGGTTGTAAAATCGGTCAGGCTTGGAATTTCAATCAGGCACTGCTTCCATATCAGAATTTTGTTACTCTTAACATTTAAAAGTTTAAAATTTGGAAACTCAGGACTTTAGAAATTTTGGCAAGGTCTTAAGAATACAGAACGACTAATTTCTCATGACCCAAAGTTTCAAAATGCGAAAGACCTAAAACATATTAATTTACGACCACCTTATGTCGTTTCCACTTACTCGAGATGGACCTTCTTACCGTTTCACAGGAAACATTACCCTCGCCAAACAACTTTAGCCATGAAAAGTTTTTAAATAAAACCGTGATGTTAAGGAATAACGCGAAAGTTACACAGCAGAGAATATTTCATTTATGCATGCAGCGGCAGCGGTTTCCTTTGCATTCTTCGCGAGATAATTTCTTTCGCAAAGGAAACGGAAGATTTTTAATTTTCTTTGTACCTTCGTTTGTCCGATTCGCTTTACCTTTCCCATCGAATCGGGAAAAATCTTCGGATCTCGCGTTTTACTTTCCTGCGGTACGGGATTGTTTATAACGAGTCGTTCTCGCAGGTGAAATCAACCGCCGGTGATACGCACCTCGGTGGAGAGGACTTCGACAACCGTTTGGTGACACACTTCGCGCAAGAGTTCTCGAGGAAGTTTAAAAAGGACCTGACGAAGAACAAGCGAGCGATCCGTCGATTGCAAACGGCTTGCGAACGAGCCAAGAGGACCTTGTCGTCGTCGACCCAGGCCAACATCGAGATCGACTCGTTGCTCGATGGCATCGACTTTTACACGTCGATCACGCGAGCCCGTTTCGAGGAGCTCAACCAGGATCTCTTCAAGGGTACCTTACAGCCTGTCGAGGAAGCTCTGCGCGACGCGAAGATGGATAAATCGCAGATTCACGACATCGTTCTCGTCGGTGGATCAACCAGAATCCCACGGATCCAAAGACTCCTCCAGGTGACTTTATTCGACCAGAAAACCGAAGGGCAACATCCATCTTTTCGTCTTTCGAGTTCGCGCCAATGTTTGTTCAATTTTTTAAGCAACTCCCTGAGCTAACATCGGGTGTCGCTTCGTTAAAACAAAGTTCGGGATGATATAGAGCCGATTCGATGATAAAACGCATTAAAATTCGATTACGTCTCTTAGCAGACCGCCACCCTTGCGTTTTAAGCGGGGTTCGAAAAGCCGGACGAGGGTACGGTCACGAACAACACCGAGGGGGTTCCCCTTGGAGCGACGGCGTTACAGAATTAATGAGCTCGATGACAAAGTCAACACTCGCGTTTTTCGACCCCACGCCCAGTCATCGTTGTACCGGTACCATTAAATATCCTGTCCGCTCGGATATATTTATGGTCCTTAACGGGACCAAGGGTTTCGACTTTTATCGTCGGGATACCAATAATAGTAATTGAATTCGAGTCTGACGAATGGCGCGATCGGCCAGATAAATTTTAATTAATGCCCTTCAAATTACCCACCCGGCAATTCCGTTCGCTCTTATGAAATTATACTTTACAATTTTGCAGGGTGTATCGTGTTTCTTCGAGCATAATTAAATTTCTGTCTCTTTTTCTTTTCTTCAGGATTTCTTTAACGGCAAGGACTTGAACAAATCGATAAACGCGGACGAAGCAGTGGCTTACGGAGCTGCGGTACAGGCGGCCATTTTGCAGGGAGACAAGTCCGAGACAGTTCAGGACCTGCTGCTCCTGGATGTAACTCCTCTCTCCTTAGGGATAGAGACCGCTGGCGGTGTGATGACCGCCCTAATCAAACGCAATTCCACGATCCCGACCAAACAGACACAGACTTTCACTACCTACTCGGACAATCAGCCGAGCGTTCTGATCCAGGTTTACGAGGGCGAGAGGGCGATGACCAAGGACAACAATCTCCTGGGCAAATTTGAGCTATCCGGAATACCACCGGCACCACGTGGCATGCCCCAAATCGAAGTAAGACGTTTAGCGTGTTGCTATTGAATTGGTAAATAGTCTATTTGGGATTTGCAGTCCTTTATATACCATATCGGAAGCATTATCTCCCCGTTTCGCATCGTAATATCCTCGCGTATGTTTTCGTTTAAGTACCACTCCATCGAATCGGTTACTGCAAATGCAATTGCATTCGCGATAAATCACGTTAGTATGATAAATGAAGGAAAAGGAAGAGTAGCGACCCAATAGAAATTGATCCAGATCGCTAATAAACGTTTCTTGGAAGTCTGGTCAAAGATAAGAAAACAATTCCGCAGAGCAGAAGGCAGCGGTTGGAGCGAGGAAAAAAGAAATCCTTGGCAAGGGTATACACAGTCCGTCGAAAGGGCGAGGGTAAAAGCTGCGAGTGGACAGGGGTGGAAAGATCCTTTCCAGACGATCCAGCGTCTCGTGATTTCTTTTCTGCCTGTTGCCGGCAGTGTGCACGGGTCGGACGGGGCTCTATTGGAATTGTCAGGTTGTCCGGATAAGCATCGGAACGGAAAGCAAACGCGGAAACGGAACGGGCCGACGAAATGGCGTCTGGGTCGCGCACAGTCCTTCGAACAAAGGAGAAAGTGCTCCTCGAGTCTAGCTTTTCTTTAATTTTCTGTCCCTAGGTGACCTTTGACATTGACGCGAACGGCATCCTGAACGTGTCTGCCGTGGAGAAATCGACGCACAACGAAAACAAGATAACGATAACCAACGACAAGGGTCGCCTCAGCAAGGAAGACATCGAGCGAATGATTCGCGAAGCGGAAAGATACCAAACGGAGGACCAATCGCAAAAGGACAAGGTCGCGGCGAAGAACAACCTCGAGTCCTATTGTTTCAACATGAAGAATACAGTCGAGGACGAGAAACTCAAGGGTAAGATACAAGAGGGTGACCGGAAACACGTCGCTGACAAATGCAACGAGATAATCAAATGGTTGGACAGCAACATTTCTGCTACGAAGGAAGAGTTCGAGGCTAAACTGAAAGACATTGAAAAGGTACCTTTCCTATTTTATCATGATTTCCAAATTTTTCTATCATACATTTACGGACGTTCAAAAATGTCGTTCTCCCTCTATGAAACGAAACCATAACATAGTTGAGAAATATTGACATTAATGGTTTCCTTATTTTCCTGTCGATGGTAACTGATCGATGCAACCTTCCTTATCTGCTACAGCCAAAGTAGATATTAATGGTTCATAACTGTAATACCTGCAAATGAGTCTAATCGAGTTTACTGTTTTTGTAGGTTTGTAAACCAATTATGAAAAAGTTTTACGAAGGTGGAGGTGCTTCTCAAGCCGCAGACGGTCCGACCATAGAGGAAGTGGACTGAATACCCTCGGTCGATAATGTCACGTGCCGCTCTCGCCTGGACCTACATTTGGCGCAAAATTTAAAGTTTCTGATTCCATAAAATTTCTATAATTCCATGCAAAAATGAATCCGTGCAGGGTTCCAACATATAATAAATCCTTGGTAATTTCCAACGTGTTATTTATTGCAAGCGAGTTTGGGAAAGGTAGTTACTGTAATGATTTCGCGATACATTCGAAATATGCAATAATATTGTCAGACTAACACGACGACCTAGCGTCGTCGTTTACATGTGTGTGTTTGTATGTGACGCGCGTATGAGTGTATATGCAGCTTGTAAAACTGTTTAAACGGGTTCTTCTCGCATCACGTTAACACTAAAATTGTATGCTTGTAAAGAGTATGTACAGAGTGAGGGGACACTATTAAATATTTAATGACCTTAGCGTACAGTATATTATAGACTACGCGTTAATGGAACGTTTCTTCTCGTAAAAAATAGATTATGCAGAGCACCATGATTTCTTCTTTTCTTCTTCTTCGCCTTCGTTTTCTTCATCTTCTACTTCGGATCATGCGATTTCTTTTCTTTTCTTTTTTATGTACAATTTTGCACTTCTTCTGACCGCGAGTCACCGCGATGACTCGCGACGCTGTAACGCTGCTTACAAGCACATTACGAAATGTGGCAGGTTTCCGGTCAGCCGGCCGGCGAGATTACAGTATCGCCGTCCGTATCGGTACAATCGAGAAACAAACGAGGAACAGAAACTGACTATAATGTTGCTGCAAAATTTTATGCCCTGTGCTCAGTCTTTCACAATGCGCTACAATTTGCTTTTATTTTAAATCCTTTTTCCTCGCCAAACGGTTCGAACCACACGAGTCGAACCTGAAATTTAATTCGCTTCGAGATGTTTGTTCAAATAGTACACGTTTCGAAGAATGTAACTTAAAACAAAACATTCTAAAGAGAATTTGGAACGCTTGAATTGTTCGTCCGATTAATTCTCGCGGTAACGTTGCGAACCGTTCGCTCGAGCGAACCAGAAAACGGATTCCGTCTCGACATCTTTGAGTCTCCTAGTAAATATCTCATTACCGAGCTCAAAGAACCGGAGGATCCTTCGGATACGAATTTTGTCTTCTTCGTAGCGTCTTCTCCGTCCTCGTGTTTCATCGTCGCGATCGACCGCCGAGACGATCGGCAACGAAGAAGACGGGAAGTGTTCGCGATAAAACAGGAGGCGGGAAACAGGTAATAACGAAGAAACAAGAAGAAAACAGTTTGGACAACGAACGAGGCATAAAATTTTTCGTAGGACCACCATGGAGGCTCGAAATTTATCCGATTTCCGGTTTCGAGAGTCCTTGGTAGGTTCGTACAGGAGTAAGTAAGATCACAAGCGTCATAGAGGCTCAGTGGAGCCTCTGGGGTTAGAACAAAAACGTAAAAAATAGTAATCGTTGTATAAATGAGCATGTACGTGTAAATGATGGTTCTTGATGCGTGTCTCACGCGCTCGCGTCATGGTTCATGCGCGCGTGTATACGTGTATGAGTGTTTCCTACAAAGTATCATCGCTTAAAGACTATCCTCTTCATCCTTTATATTATATACATGTTACAACGTCGCTTGGTTGCCTGTATCGTGTAGATATATGTATATGTATAACGACCACGTAACTCCTTACCCTTTATATCACATATCGTATATAAGAAGGCACCAGAAGTAATTCTAGGTCAAGAATCTTCGCTCGCGGCATGCGTCACCGCGCGCGAACATTATGCTAACCAGGTAATGGAAACATCCGTATGTTGTACACGTGTTTGCTTTCAGCGGTGAACCGTCCACGCTCCGCCGCGAACAGAACACGCGTTACGCACGAGTGTTTCGAGCACGACTGGCGCGAATCGACTACGAAAACTCTACGGTGCCAGAGAAACGTACTAACTCGTACGTTTTAAACTTCGGACGTCTTAAACGCCTACAACTCGAAATACTTGAAATTCTTAAAAATTTTATAAGTAATCCGTGTTCGCGCCAGCCACTCGCTATGCGCTGCAAAATTTCGTTCCGCAAAATATATTAAAATTTCGATGCTTCTTACTTTAGCTTATATGACTTTACGAACAGTAACAATTAACAAAAGCAATTGTTTCATGCCTTGATCGTATTCGCGCGTACCACTCGTTGCGTTACGATGATTCAGCCGCGCATTACGCGAAACACGGTACAGTCGATACGAGCTCAGCAAGGACTAGGCACTTGAGGCTGTCTCGTGATCACGATAGGATCTTGAAAATCTTCGGGCGACTCTGTCTTCCGCGGCAAAGCACGATGGCGTATGTGTTCCAATTTCAAGTCTCGAAAGTTTGTCCATCTAGGACACGAATGTATATACAAAGACGCGTATTCTAATACAATTTCAAGCTACCAGTACGCTTATTCGTTACGGATATATCACGTTCCATTCACCGATTCCTGCAAAATCGTTATATCGTTAACTCGACGAGTCGCAAATATCAGTTGACACCTTCCTGTCGTTGGATCACGATCAAAAGGACTTTAGAACACGCGTTTCTGCTCGCGTGCAGATTACATCTGTAGCGTAGACACACGCTTCTCTCGTGCGATCAGTTCGTTGTTACGACTAGTCGATCGCTTCTCTCAGAGCAGCCAGTTGCTCTTCGCCAAGCTTCACCTTGTCCTGAATCTCACGGCCGTCCACGATCAGCTTCGCCTTCATGTTGATGAAGTGCTGGTAGTCCGCGAACTCCTCTTCGTTCAGGTACTTCGACAGAATCGTCGACACGTTCACGCTCCGTTTGTCGATGTTGCTCTTCAAAATCTTCGCTTCCTCCAGTTGATCCATCAGCTTGTCCCTCTTGCTCTCGAGAATTTTCTGTAAACAGGAAGTACAAAGTGTATTTCGCGATAGGAACTTCAAAGTCCGACCAGATTTCGCACAAGGGCATCGTGAAACAACGTGTCAAACGAATTCGAAGCTGCGTTTCATCAAAGCAGCTGCATAATCGCTTTATTAATGTTCCGAACATAAACCAGCCGATTGTTCAAGGTTTCTACGACGATTAGTCTTTAAGTGTACGATGAATCGTATTGCGCAAGATTCCTTCGATAAATCAAGAGGACTTTCTGTCAGCTAGTTGAATAATTATATCCGCGCCGCTTGGCCTTCCTGTTCGACTACAAATCATTTCGCGTGAATGCACGTTGCCGAGGAACAAGGAACACCCAAGGACTCCCGGTGAATTTTCAGTTAACTGTGTTGTATCAATTACCGTGTCTGTTCGATTGAAATTACTTGTTTTGACGACAAATCGTTTTGCTTGTATCGAGACCTTGGACCACACCTGTTCACCGAAACGCATCGAATACGTATCTCGACTATTTCTGTGTCGTCTACTAATTCAATTTTCTCGATAAAATATCATCGAATTCTCTCTGTAATAATATGATTTGACGCTTACCCTCTCGGCGTGATCAGCAGGCATTCCGTAGAGGGCGTTTTCCGCTCGAGCGAGCCTTCCGCTCAGGCCAAGAAGAAGACTCGTGATCTTGCCGACTTCCTCCACGTGAAGCCGATACTTGGACGCTTCCGCGGGTCGAGCGACCGCAGAGATCCGCGTGGAGACCCGCGCCCCTAGGGCTTCGTTCACCTCTCCCTCTTCCCTGACTGCCTCCTGTTCGGCCCTGAGGACTACCAGTTTCTTGTCGAGCCTCATCATCAGCTCCTCCTGCGAAGAGAATCGATTGCAGTTCCGCTCGCACGCGGGTCAACCGTCGTTTCAGAAACTCCTGTCTCGTTTTCTTAATTCCTAATGGAGGCTCCCGAGGCAGGAATTCGTGAAACGTTTCACCCTCGAAAAGAAACACGTACCTTTTTCTGTCTGAGATCAAGGCTGTCGGTCGGAATGACCGGCGGCTCATCCTCTTGACGAGTCAAGCTTTCGACCGTCGCGTCGCGCGAGTATCTCGCCAGGAACCTCGCTTTTCCTTCGGACGTGGTGAAGTACGCGGAGGTTGGGGACAAAGGGCTGGTCGTGTCCGTCGATAACGGGGTGACCGGTGCAGAAGGTATCGATTCTGGCCTGTAAGTTTTACAATTACTAAATTACTCTTCCAATCTTTCCTCGACGATATTCTATCTAAGGATATTCGTGAGCAGCGAGCTGTTTACGAAAGACACGAAGGAAACTCAAGACCGAATCGATCGACCCTTTTTAACACAACTTACAGCCTATACCATGTTGCAAACGTAGCTTGTCTAACGAAAATCGCGTGTCTGTAGCAACTTTAACCAGGGGATCAGGAAGTTGAATCTAAATGGCGACTCCGGTATAACGAGGCAGATGGATATTTATAGAGATTAGAGGATGTCTATCGGGATATACATCTGTTGGTGTAATACGCTTTCGCGTTTATTGCGTAATAACTGCAAATTGATCGCTAAAGATTGATAAATATGCTGATGCTCTCAAGCATTTCGCGGTTGGTACTTGATCTTCAAGGACGTTCAACAGGCCAACTGAAATATTAGTTACAAGTTTTTTTCCAAACATCGAGTTATCGAACGATATCAGACTTTTGACATGTCCCAAGTTGTGTCAACAGAAATATTGTCTCTACTAATCATCGAACAAAAGTTTCGATACCGGTTCTCTTCGGAACTCTAACAAAGTTGGTTAGCGTATCGAATATAATTGCAACTCCAAAGCTTACAAACTGTGACATCCGTTCGAGATTACGCTTATCGAAGCGTGTGCACGCGAGCGTTCGTCGCTGGCTCTATAAAAGCGGAGAAAGTGATAAAGAAAGGAAAGCAGAATAGAGCGAGTGCAGGCTCGAAAAGCAACCACGCCGGTTGTCCAGTTATTATCCAGGGGCTAGAACGCGTAATTAATGAAAAGAGGAAGTGAATGCCGGAGTAAATGCACGATTACCGAGCGTTTTACCACCGTTTAAGCGCACATCTTACACACCGACACGGCTAACAGAAGCCATCCGCTTTCGAAAGCACGCGGCTCCTCCGCGGGCGTGGTAAGGAAACTGTTTAGTCGAGTTTCATTGCGATCGACGAAGAAACTTTATTAACTTCTGTTACTGCTTCCAGTTAGACGTTACGTTGCATCGGTTAAGCGGAACGAATCTAGGACAAGAAGTTAGCTCTGGCTAAGTGCAAGTTATCGTAACCGAAAGATCGTAAAGCGGTTGAATCACGAAGGTAACGGATCTCGATGTACTTGTTCGAGCGCTTGTTCTCCATGTCCGGTGATATTACTGAACGATTCGGTGCAACGTCGATCGCGAATCCAGGATCGATCGAGACGATACGGGCGGTCGTTCGTCGCAGACTGGCGAACACGATGATGCGTAGACCACCGAGTAGCTGATCCGACAATATCATTTATGGCCTGTTATGCAACCATCTTGCGCCTCTACTACTTTCTCTCGTCGCGTGCCGGCGGAAATATTGTCCTTTACGCTAGAACAACTAAATCCGTCAGAATGATGGATCTCGTATCTCTCCTTTTAAACGACAGACGCTATTAACGTGCTTTTATTGAAATCTATGTTTGCTTCTGACGAGATAAAGAATTATTTTACTGCGACTTCGTACGAGATGAAAGTTCAAGATTTAACACTCGATAAATTTATGTGTTATTGGGATATTTTTATTCGAGTTCCATTAAACGATATCGTCTTTCGAATTGCGTCGTAAATTGTTAATATCTAATAAACTTATAAATTACGATATTTCACAGTCTGCAGCTGTAAGATCGCAATTTCTATTTCGTTACTTTCCATCTTCTAATTTCCTGCGTTTTTCTGACTAATCCTACACATAATTTATGTCTCTGAAATTTTACAGCCACTTGAAAGTAATCATCCATTAGTCAGAAGTAAGTGGAAAATTACGAATCGTGCAGCTGGCAGAAGCTGTACTGTGTCATCGATTCATCACAGAGTTCGAAAACGACAATTAAATCCCGTCGCTAATAGAGCCCCATCAAATGATGCCTGCTTAGGAATTCCGCGGTCACGCCCAAGAAACTTTATTAACTTCTGTTACTGCTTCCAGTTAGACGTTACGTTGCATCGGTTAAGCGGAACGAATCTAGGACAAGAAGTTAGCTCTGGCTAAGTGCAAGTTATCGTAACCGAAAGATCGTAAAGCGGTTGAATCACGAAGGTAACGGATCTCGATGTACTTGTTCGAGCGCTTGTTCTCCATGTCCGGTGATATTACTGAACGATTCGGTGCAACGTCGATCGCGAATCCAGGATCGATCGAGACGATACGGGCGGTCGTTCGTCGCAGACTGGCGAACACGATGATGCGTAGACCACCGAGTAGCTGATCCGACAATATCATTTATGGCCTGTTATGCAACCATCTTGCGCCTCTACTACTTTCTCTCGTCGCGTGCCGGCGGAAATATTGTCCTTTACGCTAGAACAACTAAATCCGTCAGAATGATGGATCTCGTATCTCTCCTTTTAAACGACAGACGCTATTAACGTGCTTTTATTGAAATCTATGTTTGCTTCTGACGAGATAAAGAATTATTTTACTGCGACTTCGTACGAGATGAAAGTTCAAGATTTAACACTCGATAAATTTATGTGTTATTGGGATATTTTTATTCGAGTTCCATTAAACGATATCGTCTTTCGAATTGCGTCGTAAATTGTTAATATCTAATAAACTTATAAATTACGATATTTCACAGTCTGCAGCTGTAAGATCGCAATTTCTATTTCGTTACTTTCCATCTTCTAATTTCCTGCGTTTTTCTGACTAATCCTACACATAATTTATGTCTCTGAAATTTTACAGCCACTTGAAAGTAATCATCCATTAGTCAGAAGTAAGTGGAAAATTACGAATCGTGCAGCTGGCAGAAGCTGTACTGTGTCATCGATTCATCACAGAGTTCGAAAACGACAATTAAATCCCGTCGCTAATAGAGCCCCATCAAATGATGCCTGCTTAGGAATTCCGCGGTCACGCCCACGTGGACGTTACTCGTTGGTCAATTATGGATCTGCTCGTGCTCGCGACCTCTTTGGCCACGCGTCGAGGATGCTCGCACCGCGAAAAAGGGAAAATACCTTGGCATCCTTTCGATAGTTTCGAAGTTGGCAATTTCCCGCGGCCGTGGGATAATTAATTGGACTCGGTTAACTAGATAATCGACGTTCGAGCGCGAAAACGTTTGCGAGCACGAGAAAATTGCGATCGGGTGTCGTATGGTTACGGGCTGTGTTCGGTGAAAGTACCAGTCATAGCAACCTGTATGAAATATCGACGCCCGCATATCATCCGCCGCGATCGTTTAACATTTATAACGACAGGACACGCCGCGGATAGGTGAAGCACGGCTGCAATCAATGTTGCAATCGTTTAGCCTCCTCCTTCTTACAGTGAAACGGACTCCAATTGTCCAATTGAAATTTACATTTTTTTTTATGATAGCACATTAATTCTTTACGCGTTAACGATACTATATTTTAAACAAATCGTTCTCGTAATTTCTTTTTAAGCTGTAATTGACCACGATCGCTGCTCACGAATAAAAGTTTGATAAACCTTCAAGATAATTATTACGTCGTTTAATCGCATCGATGCTTACTTTTTCTCCTCGTCAGACCCGTTTTCAGAGCACGGGGTCGTCGGCTCTTCCAGAGAGAGTCGTCGCCTCGGTCTCGGCTGCAAGGTCGCCTCCAACCTGAACAGACCGGAAACGTAGTCGGTGGGCTTCTTGTGCTCCGGAGCTGGAACTGATAAGAACAAATGGTCACACGCGTTGATTCTACTCCGTTCATCGTTCTCCATCGCTTGAGGAATCCTCGTGCCTCCGGGATGCCTTAACGAGCGTGTTCGATATCGCGACAGCACGAGGAACGGAAAGAGAGCTAGAAACAACGACGGGTAATTGAATAACGCGGTCGACTGGTCGATTGGGTTAATGCTTATTAAAATAAAAGGGTCATTGTCCGACCGACGGACTCCACCTCGTGGTACGGAGTTATGTTCCATGTCGTACAGCTAAGTACAAATAGAGCTGTAGCTTATCTTGATTCATGCGAGTAATAAAGATAAATCTACTCCGCAGGTACACGACGACATTTCGCTACGGTAAATCTGTGGGATTACAATAAGCCGTCGAAGAATGACCAGCGGGAGTTCTGTTAATACCGGTGTTTGCGTATCTTTTGTTAGACGTAATCGTCGCGAACGCGAGTAATCCGAGATTAGTCTACGTCGGGTCTCAAAAGTCGAAACGGAGACAGCGTGTAACGCATAGGATTTACAACACGTGTGCATGCATTTCTCTACAAGTTTTTCGTGTTTTTTATACACGAGGATTCTATCGAAAGACTCACCTAGGAGAGGCACCAGCTTATCGTTAGGATTAAGCTGGCTCGCTAAATCCCGGCCAAGTTCTTCGCACTCGATCTCTTCGGGAAGCTTCTTCCTGCACACAGGAATCTCCTGACTCTTGGCGATGGTTTCCGGCTGCTCGACCGGTTCCAAGGTGTCGGTCTGCGAAGCAGCGTCGCTGGTGGTCGCGTTCACTCGAAGAACCACTTCGGTTCTTTGCACCAGGGTGAGGCCTTCTATTCCCGGCTGCGGCGACACGCACGGGGACGCGGGCGACGATTTGTCCTCCTCTACCGGGGAGTTCCTCGGCGACGACGAGGAGGAAGCTTTAGAAACGCTAGAGATCGAGGACGTCGAGGACCTGCCTCCAGGTCTGTACTTCTGAGCCGACGAGGATGACCTGTCCACTCTCAACTCGATCTCGTTCGAGGAACCGGTGTTGTCCGTTTGCGTGGGACTGCAGACCTTCCTGCTACTGGAAGAGTTTTCGTTCTTCGAAAAGCTATTGGACAAGCTTCGGGGCGACACGCGAGGGTCCGACGATCTGCTAGAGGAGGAGGAACTGGAGCAACTTCCGGAACGTCTGGGGACTGCTCCCCTCGGACTGTCCGCTTCTATCTGGTCGGATGGTGACCTGGGTGGCGAGTTCACAGGTGGCGGTGGTTTGTCCGGAACGGATGTTTCTTGACGCGACCAACTATCCGTCGCGATCGTCATCGTCGTGGACGTCGACGACGCGGTGACGCAGGTGGTAACCGTGTTGGTCAACGTCGAAGTTACGCTCGTTCTCTTCTCGTTGCGCCGGTTCAGAAGTTCGATGTTCTGCGAGGTCATTTCGATGGTGGCGCTCCGCTCGCGGAAGAAGTCCTCCTCGACGACCGACGATGGAGCGTCCATGCTCCGGGACTGTTTCTAGATACAACAGAATATTAACGTTAACGTCTTGTTCAACTTGTTATTAAGCTCTGTTAATCTTCGGGGAAAAAAGGAATTACGCAATTTGTACGTTCTCGGAAATTGGCCTGTACGTTAGAACTAGGAAGAAACTTCTAATCGTCCCTCGCAGTTACAAGAAAGCCGGAAAAATCGGACAGATACGAATGATCGGGGCAAAAGATTAAACTTGTAGGTAGGCGAAGGTGTATCGAAAGAAATATTACCTCTCTGTTCTGAGGTAGGGGCTCGCAACTGGCCGCTAGCTTCCTGCGTTCACGCTCCAGCTGTCGGTTCCTGTCGTTAAGGACCTCGACGCTCTGGGGCGACAACCGTTCCCTGCGCTGCTCATAATCGTGCCTCTTCTCCTGATGTTGTTGATGATGATGATGATGGTGGTGATGCTGATGTCGATCCTCCAGGTTATCGTTATTATTATTCTCGCTGGTTCGCGATCTACCGTCGCCGGCTTGCAGTTTCTTGTTCAAATCGTGCGACAACTTTCCGATCACCTCCGCCGAGTGTTGTTGTTGTTGTTGCTGCTGTTGCTGTTGGCTAGACCGTTCTTCCAGACGATGATGAAGAGCGTCCACGCTGTGCGACTTCGATAGCTCGGCCTGTTGCGAATGGTGATTGTTGTGATGGTGATGGTGATGGTGCTGCAACGGATGATGAGGCGTGACGCGCAAAAGAACCGGATCGTCGTGATCCCGCGGCGGTGGCCAGTCCTCTAAGCGAGACGTTGGTGACATCGTTCGCTTGTAACTTCCCTCGCTGTCTGGAGCTCCTCGTTCGCGTCGATAAGCCAGGTAAGAGGCCTTCGATTGGCTCCTGTAACAGGGAAATTGCTATCGTTAGCAATGGAAACTTACGATCTTCTAGATATTAACAAAACTTTGTCGAGTTTTAAACGATGAGTAACTCTCTTGACAAAGTCACCTTGTCGTTATCGAAAGTTAAGTCATCAAATACCGAGTCGTATCTACTATTTCAGTGAATCCACGAACTGCGCCGATACAATAAATCTTTTTGCAACAAAACACGTCACAGTCCACGAAAAGAATGGAAAATAAATACGCAAGAAATGAAATAAGCAGAACAGACGCCCTTTGATAATCGTCTATTTCGCGCGCGGCGCCCGAAACGGTTTGGGCGTCAGCCATCAAAAATAAGCGGATGAAAATAGAGCAGAAAATACGCAGACACGCGGTAGGTTAACTATCTCCACGGACCATGCATAAATAGTCGCATCTGCTCGCTTCGAACGCGCGACTTGACGCACGTCCGCGAGCTTGTACTTGAATTTCTGGTCGGCGCCCGGTAGAAACTGGTAAGATGGTTCGAATTCTGACGAGATTCATTTGTATGGACACCGAACGTGGCTCCAGCGGTCGGCATCTCTCTGATTTGATCGTTATCCAAGTAATATTCCGATGCGAGACCATGTGACTTTCCCACGTACGCAGGATGTACGTAAACACGTGAACTATTCGAGATGCTTAGAAAAAAACTGTCGAGAATACTGAATATCCTGGATTTTGAAACAGCCTCCGTGTTTTCGTTCAACGAACTGTGCGATCGTTTGTAGGGTACGATAGTACAGGTTTGAGTTAGGTAACTGTAAACCATTTATACAAAAGACGATCGCGGTATTCCATTCTTTCGTACACAATCGCTCGTCAAAACATTTCCTGAATCTTAAAATTTCGAGTTATCTTAAAATCTGGCGAGTTAAACGTTGAAAGTGCTGGTTTTATAACGAAGAATATTCTGTGGAGCGATAACATAGTAAATATTTCATTTATAATTGGGTAAAACGAACAAGGATCGAACTCCGTTCTTTCAGGCAAAACGATAATGGATTTAAAATCACCTTATTAACGCTCCATAAATTATTTCAGCTCATATTGTATTCGAGCAGGCAATTGCAGCGATCAAAATCGTGACGCCCATGCACAGACAGTGCATAAATAAACGAGTACGAGTCAGCAGAATGGGAATTCTCGAGTTGACTGTTCTTCGCTCATATGTAACACAGTTTATTGCGATATTTGCATTTGTGTGCATAATCGACACACAATTATAATCTTGGAATTCTAACAAAGTCAGTGGAACACGGTGTTTATGGCGATCCCAGTCGCCTCGTTATCGTACCTCGTTCAATACAATTTATTTTCATAATTTTCGATCGTGCATGGGATCGGTTATTAAACGCATCGCGATCCTTCTAACAAAACGAAATGATCTCTCGCGAGAGTAATAGTGCATCATTGTTCGGTATCGCTTGCAAAATACACCTCGACGCACGCTGGATGATTAATTGTAGGTTGCGATTGATTAATCGCTCAACGAACCTGTTATCATTTTCATAAACGAATATCGGCAATTTCCTTCCAACCGACGGATACAGTTATCCTTGTAACCGTATTTAAATTTAAGCATCTCCAACACTGCACTCTCTTAATCCGTCAAGAATTAGATTACGTAAACGCGTGTTTCGCGTTCCGTGCGAAAGTTATCGTGAATGAGCAAACCGGCAGGAAAGTGTAACGTCTCCTGCCTCGTCGAGCATGTGAAACGTTTGTTAGGAATACTTTTTCTCTTATTAGAGGGAACAGAAGAAACGTTGCGGTAGCTGGCTGATTGATTTACGACGTCTTCTTTGAATATTCAGGTAAACGAGTGGTTAAGAGTCAACGCTCTGTGTGAGAGACCTCTATTTCCATCTTAGGGTCAACAATTGATTTCCTAATTCAACCTTAATTTTCTATCACGAACAAAACTTATATTTACTCAATATCCTACCAGGTAATACCAGGTACATTCACCGTATTTCGGTTTAAAATAATTATCTTAACAATTGTACGATAAGAACACAGGAAGCATAACAACTGATATCGGCTAAACTCGATCGATTCCAGCTACGATTAACCTTGTTATACATATATCAGAATTTGTGTCAGATTTGTACGTTTCGACCGAATGTGGGCTGATATTGTCATGCCGCGTCTGTCTGAAATCGTCATCGTACACTGGATTTACAAGCACACTTTGAAATGCACGCGCGAAATCTAGTTAAACATACTTGTCGAATCACTTTCTTGAATTAATCGATCGGCAACACCTTACTCGATCGATCACGATTTTGACCCCGATTATAGGAAAACTTTTGTCACGCTCTATTGTATATTTCAATTAAACCCACCATGATTGACCTTTAACTATTATGTCACAGTTTGCAATCATAATATTCTTTTCGAAATATGCCACGTATTGTCGATACACGATAGATATGAAGGATCAAATCAGGCTGTATCATGGTTAAGTCAGTATTGTGATAATCTTCTTCGATGCAGGACAAGTTAGGAAAACTGGTAGAAAATTATTTAGAGAGCGAGTTCACGGAATCTATTTGGCCGAAGTTCACACGGCCGCTTCGCACCGGAGTTCTCTGCTCGAGTCGCGATTTCTGTCCCGTTCTGGTTAGGATTGTGCGTACCTGCCGGCGGAAAAGAAAGTTTTTGCCGTAACGAGGTGGCCCGAGCGAAGGACGAAAGTAAAATTCGCGTCTCGATTCTAATCACGCGGTCGACGGCACAATTTCGCGGCTACCGGACCTCCTCTCTCGCCAGCTCGTCATAATTTTGTCAACGCGAGTGTCCGTATGTAGCATACGATAAATATCTTTTCTCATACTTTCCACTCTAGTAAATTATTTTAATACTCACGCCGACTTCCTACCGAGAAATCATTTCGATTCCGGGTCGATCTTTAACGATTTTAGAATGTTCAGATTTCTTCCTGCTGTGCCTTCAGGTACTCGATAAAATTACCTCTAACTCGACAAGATGATCGGTAAATCAGATTTGAAAATCAAATCAGCACTAACTGATAATTTCGATTCCTTTGCAACGAAGACCAATATCACGTTTTCGTTAAAAAATGCACAATAACCCGCGACAAAGTGTGTCAAACAGGACACGATTCGTCAAATTCAACAACGCCGGTCGGGCATGATGGTTCCATTAACTCCGGCCGACCCCGGGCTGCAAATTCTGTCCTATTCTATACGAAGATCAAAATTCCGCAACAGGCAGGATCGAGAGTCGATCGAAGAAAAAAGATCTCACGACGGCCACGAAGAGAGCATCGTGTTCGCTCGTTGCTCCATCGTTTCCGAAGCGAGCGATGCTTCGGCGTGAGAAAGAGCGGAGAATAAAAATCAACCGTCCCGGATCTTCGAGCACGCGAATCACTTCCGCGAGCGTTGCGCGTGCTCGCTTATCTTCGACGCGAATCTTCGACGTTGCTTTTTCACGCTTGACGGTGTAACGATAATCAACATTTTTCGTTACACAATAGGAAGACTCCTGATCCGATGATTCATTCTTCGACTACCCTTGCACCCCTAATGATCCCTTAAGATTCAATATCTTATCGAAATTAAAATCAGAACATTCCAGCATTACAATTACAAGATTCATTGATCCCGTCCACAATCTCGATCGTACAATTACGTAAGCAAACACTAGGCACACGACCAGACAGCACGATTTCCTGTTACGCTCGACCACGATGCAAATGGTTCCAGCTCCCATTGAATTCTTCCGTAATTATCAACGCGAGCTAATTTCAGCGTAATCTAGAGGCTGGGAGCTTGATTCTTGTTGGACGTTTTTCATTTAGAAAAGCTCGAACCCGGAAAGGTGGATCCTAGGGAAAGTGCTTAACAAATTGCTTCCAGCTCGTGATATATGCTCGAACCGCGGTTTTAAACGAGCCCCGGTAATAAGGCTCGTTCGTAAAATAAGTAACGAGCGTGCAGCGAGGTTGGACCAGCGGCTAGTAGCCTGTTGGCGAGCGTCACGCTTAAAAGTTACTTCGAATAACGACCATACGTAACTACGTACACGCACAGGACCCCTTTCACGACACGCGCGTTCTCCGCTTCTCTCTTCGACTCTCCGCGAGGGCAGATAATTATCGGCCACGGGATAATGCACACGCGAGAAGGAAGAACACGTGTCGATTCGTTCGGTTTTTTGGAAGAAACGTATCGGTCCTTGTCGTCGTACATTAGCGTCGATCGAGAGCTTAATTAAACGCGCACAAAGGAGTCCCTTCTTACGCATATTTTTTCCCCCTTCGAGAAGAATTTCAGAATGTGCGTAAGAACCAGGATTTATCGATTCTTTCGCCGGGATTAATGGTACTATCAATTAGGAAGTCGCTTAGGGATCCTGGGGGGTAATTTTGAAAGTTTTATTGGTACGGTTCTGTTCGGCTAATGCGAGAATATTACCGCCAATTATCTATTCCGAATTCCTTGCCGTAAATTCCCCATTCGCGAGATAAAAACGGTGGCTATCGAATTCCGACCGTTTCTTTTTCCGCCAAGTCGATCACGTTCGATATTGTTCAATGCGTACGCCGGTTTTTAGCGAGCGAGGAAAACAGCGTAACCGATAAAAAGCCTAAAATGCCTTGTTACGTAAAATCGCGCAGTTTGCCGAGATACGTTTGGACAGAAATTGCCGATAAATTTCCGCCCAGGAGATCGAGTTTCGCCCGAACAAACGAGAAGAGTGTAACGAACGTGGTCTCGCAAGAACATTGGTGAGAGTCGACGAATCGAATTATCGACAGGATGCACCTTCTTTCGACCGGTAGTCGTCGCAACAAGTCCAGTATATCACGGTAATCGATGGTTGCTACGGAATTTCACGGTCGGTCGCGTTCGCTTCGTGGGCTGGTTAAGTGGCCGATACTTATCTATATAGCCGTTATCAATTCCTGGGGAAAGGTGATAACGGCCGCACAAACATATTGAT